TATATTTCACTTAAAAAATAAAAAATTGATCGCTTTTTGGCCGTTGTTTTGAATCATTTTTTTTAAGTTTCTTAATATTTTTTTAATAAATTATTTGAGACAAAATTATAAAATGACATTTTTTTTTAACTTGTAATGACATTTATTTATCATAATTACTTTGTGGAGAACAGGAAATTATCGATCACTACCGCCTTTTAAACCAAACAATTAGGGATATTTAAAAACATTGTATTTTGTCTATTTTTTTTTAGTGTTACTTTTGTTTGTTTCACTATAGACTTGAATATAATGTTTAATTTAGTTTTATAATAATGATTCTGTTAAAACATATTGAAAAATTACCAAATTGGGTTAAAAATAACTTTTTCTATGATTTTTTGGTCGTTTTAGCACATTTTTCTATAAAAAATTTACAAAATTATTTCGTCACAAATCGCTAAATTTACTCAAAAATGATGTTGTTTTTACTGTTTTAGATTGTGCTAAAAAAATTGTTCAAAAATAATACCATTTTTCCGTTTTAGGACGTTTTTTAGTCAGAATCGCAATTGTTTTGAAAATTTTCGTCGAAAATGAGGTAAAAAATTAATAAACTATCACGAAACTAAAATTATTTTTGCTTCTTTGGAGAGTTTAAGCATGTTTTTGAGGCGAAAGAAAAATCATCTAGTTGCTTTTCCAAACGTTTTAGCAGATTTTTCAATCAAAAGCACAAAATTTCGTCAAAAATAAGCCGAAAAATCACATAATTAATTTGAAAATGATGTTAGTTTTGCTTTTTTCAAACATTTACTTGCGTTTTTTAAGTCTAAAACAAAGTTTTTTCTTTAATTCTTTCTAAAAAACAAACCAAAATTAATACATATACCAGACTAAAGAAAAAACGACATAATTTATGCTCTTTTCGAGCGTTTTAAATCATTTTTCAATAAAAAACGCAATTATTTCGCAAAATTTAGTCAAAAATACGTCGGAAAGTAAGAATTAAGTAAAAATAGTGTTATTTCATTCCTAATAGAAACCAACACTTAAAATTTTTTTTCAATAAAAGAATATTGCGAAAAAAAATTTTTTAAAAGAAAATAGCAGTTTTCAAAAAATGTTACATTCACTCACCCCTTCAGTTTTGTACTCGTAAAGTTGAATATGCATATAGGCAACACAAAATACTACGATCAGAAATAAGTTTTGCTGATTTCAGGTAAAATATTTGGTTCCACCTTTTTGCAGAATTTCTTTATGACATTTTATTTACATTTTTAATTGATTATTTAATTAAAATAACTGAATTTACAATTTTACAGTTACAGCTCGAACTATAAATAAATTTAAATTTTTAGTGCTTTAGTTTGAGTTTTGTATTTATATTCTTTTTCTTTTATGTACAAAAGACGCACTTTAAGAGCTAAATTAAATTTTTACTATCCAAACTCAAATGTGTAAACTGGTTTTCAATCTAAAATACTCCTATAATATAAATTTAAAAAAATCCTGAAATTGTGGAATAAAATTTTAAACATTTAAGACATTGTTTAATGATAATTGCATAAATATTTTCGCTGCGTTTCACACCACTGGAACAAAAAATAGCTTGTTTATAATAAATTTGAACAAATTGGTTTTAATAAAAATTAAAAATAACCTCACTTCTTGGAGATGATTGCATATTACTGCTGATATTTAAATTTAATTCAATGAAATTCAATTAATTATCTGTTTATTCTTTTGCGTGTAAGACTGATAAGGCTACGTGACCAACCTTGAAATCACTTAATTAACATTGCCTCCATTTTTAATGTATGACAAGAAAAAATTTACTAAATATTTATAACAATTGAGTTTTAAGTGTTATTAAAAGGCCATTATTTGTGATTTGTTCCTGATTACTTCCTGAAATCATTTAATGAAATAATTTGATTTGTTTTTTTTTTTTAGGCGAACAGAAGATCCCCTGGCCCGGAACCCTGCGATTGTTACGTCTCGTATAAAAACCAATCTTTTTACAGGAAACCCAAAGATAAAGTGTCGGTTTTGTCGACTGTTCCATACCATCAAGCTTATTATTAAGATGTAAAGCATGTTATTATTAAAAACATTATCTTTTTTATACTTGTGTAATTATTTACTTTTTTATTTTTTATAGGGAATGTTGGGATTTTCTGTTTGTGGAAAATTAATTCTCGTGGCGAATTCATATAAAAAAGTAATGAGTTGAGTTATATACAACGCAAAATAGAGTAATTAAATAAAAATTAATCCCTTTGTAAACAACTTTTTTTCTTTAGTTATTGCAAAAAGACATTCTTTACTTGTTCAACTGCGCCATCAAACTATAAATAACTAAAACAATAAGATAAATGAGGAATTGAGGAGGAAATTTAGCTATAAGATAAAGAAATGGAAGCAACATTGAAAAAGTAATTAATTAATTTGCGGAAATTACAGCAGACCTCGTGAACAATTTTTAAAATTTGTTAAACAACCAAAAATAAAACATTTTTTGTGGTGATAGAGTTTTTTCAATTAAGCGTTTTTCTTTTTCCTGGTCTTTGACTTATTTCTAGTAATTTTTCTCAGGTGTAACTATGATTTTTTTAAAATTTCGATGATTGCATTTACAAGAGAAAAAATTGTTTTTGATTTTACGTCGAAAATGCAGGAAAAACATTTTTTGCTTCACCTGAAACGAGCAAATCTGTAATCAGTGGAAAGAAAACTGTATTTTTCTCTTGATTTTAAACTTTTAATAATTAAAAGATTAAAAAGAAATACAAATTTAAGAAGAAAATTGGACTTTAGTTGCTAATAATTGTCTGAATTTTTTTACTTAATTTCAAATCAACAGAAATTTCCTGTAGTTAGACTACTATTAAACCTGTCTGTTTTTTTAAGTCCAAGTATGGGAATTGGCTTATTTTTTATATTTTACTTAAAAAGTATGTTAATCAATTTTGTACAAAGAAATTT